TCACATAATATGGCAGTGATTACGGTCATGTTTCTCACAAGTAGTGTAAGAACATCTCAGTACTTGATATGAAAGCACATTTTTATATGAAAACCTCAATTACACAAACAACAATAAGAAACTGTAAATGCAGTCTCAGACTAAACAAAATGAATGTTAAGTGGCTTAGTTTCATTTCACAATAACACCGTCACACTCATATCAAAACCATTGAAATTGCACCAAGACCAACTTGCTGAAATGAAGGAGTACTTTGCCATGCAATAGAGATCTGTTGCAGGATGAGAGTGTGTGTGTGTGATGTCATTCAAATGCTCTCACACCCTCTGGGGTGTCTATCAGGTCAGGCAGGAGGCTGTTGTGGGCCATGGGAAAACAGCTCTGAGGAACAGGTGAATGTGTCGCAGAGGCTTTTCTGAGTCTCTGCCGTTCGCTCTCTCGTCCACATGTCCCACTTTCCCCATCTACCTTATGCCAAAACCAGATTTCTGCATACACAGCTTATGAATACGGATGTTATACGGATGTTGTAAATGGACTCATTTGATACTTTTTTAAATACAAGTTACCTCAACACAGAAGTATTTAAGTTGAAATGTCAACATAGAGGGAGTAAAATATTTTTACTCCCTCTTTGCTGATATACCTATTTCTAGATCAGCTCAAACTGGCAATGTTCCTAAACGTTTGTATCATCAACCAATGACAAAAGTCTCAGTTTTGACTTTAATGATCGTGTTGAAGGACATGATGGCTCTTGAAATACACAAAGAATGGGTTGGCAGAGTGTAAAGACGGAGAGGTGAGAGCAAGAGCTGGTGTGTTCAAGTGTGTTTATCATTGTGGTCCTTTAGGTAATTGTAAGGAGGGGACAATTGTCCTAGAGGACTTCCCCCCTCTTCAGCTCTCCAGGTTTGTCTTTTCCAGTCCTGGCAACAGTGGAGAAAGGGTGGAGGAGAAAAAGGGAACGATTGTTTTACTGGGCGCCACTGGTCCATTGTGAACGCAGCCTGTTCTTTCTCTTGACCTGTGACCTGTATTGTTGTGAGGCTTCTCGTTTGGGGAGGGCAGACAGCTGGGGGAACTGCGGGGGGGCTGACGGACAGCTGGGACAATTTGGGGGGGGGGGGGGAGAGAGAGAGAGAGAGAGAGAGAGAGAGAGAGAGAGAGAGAGAGAGAGAGAGAGAGGGATGGTGAAGGGAAAAGGAAAGAAAGAGAACAAGAAGAGGTGACTGAGGTTGTTGATCCTCATTCACAAGTTTGTCCTCTCTGCCCCTGTGTGTCAACCTTGGCATAGGAATGACACATAGCTTTGCACACAGACAGGCATTTGGCCTGTGAGAAAGTACTGGCAGAGTTAGCTGGCGCACAACCTCTTTGTGTCTTTGCTGTTTTGTTATGGCAAAAATGGTGTGTGTGTGTGTTGAGGGTGGGGGGTAGAGTATGCGGCTTATCCTCCTGAGTCAAAATCCATGAGTGGGTGGATATAGAAATAATCCATGTATATTACTTTGGATATAAGATTACAAAACACAGAGATGCAGGACAGTCTCGGGAGATTGGGGCATGGTGGAGAGGTAATTTAGTCACATGGAAGAATTCAGTAAGATATAGGAAAAATAGGCATGCTACTAACTTGTAAGTCTTTTTAGGTTTAGTATTTTGTATTCAACTTGTAGTTCATTGGTGCAAGAACATTTATCCCGTTAAAATGATAAAAAAAAAAAAAAAAATCTGTAAAAAACTTGAACAGTACTGCACAAAACCCTGACTTTATAGTGTAGTACAGGTAGCAAACACAGATTGAGTTTATCAAGTAACTTTTATGACAAGGGCATGAGGGTCTTTTGATGGGAAGGGATCACATGCTCTGTAATGCCATCTTGGCCGACATGGCAGGCTGCAGAGCGCGACCTGTAGCTCAATCCCCGGGGAGAGTGAGGTCATTGTCAGATATCAGCACACAGAGAATTATTAATGGTGCTAATCTCCAACTCTGGTCCTAAACATTTGTGGTCTGTGTGGGTTTTTATTTTTATGTACATTATGCTGTAGATGACAACATGATGGCATCTTTTATGCTGCCATACTTAAAGTTAATTCATTTTGGCAAAGGAGGCTGGCATCAGTGACAAAAAACGATAAAAATAAAATCTGAGTCAACAAGAGTGGACTAGCTCTCTTCCCCTCTCGCTCTCTTGTGAATATTTTCTAGTTTCTGTGTGCAGCACACTTAATCCACTGGCCAAACAAGAGTGACTCACACTAAAATGAAAAGGTCCTGATCCATAGGAGCTAGATAGAGGGATAAAGCATTGTGATTAAGATTGTATTAATGGGGCCATAGGAGGCTGGAAGGCTTTAATCAGTGTCTGTTTGCCAGTAATCCCTCTGCCTTAAAGCTGGGGCGAACACAGTGATCCCCCCTCCTCTTGGGCCACAGTACGTATGCGCACGCACACACACGCGCGCGCCTCTGTGGGGAGCATATAGGGATATGAGTGCCCAGGTTGAGAGGTGGAGCGCCCAGAAACAGAGACGCCCCAGACTTAGAGGAGCAGCTGGTAGAAGAAAGACAGAAGAGATGGATGGAGAAAGAGATGTGGGAAAACACAGAAGAAAACAATAAAAGGTGGCAAGGCTGGCGTTACGAGAAGATGTAGTGCTTAGACGAGGGGAGAATTAAATGACTGTGACTGGGTTGGTTTGGTCATGGTCAACATGGTGGAAGCAATTCAATACTTTAACTTGCTCTTTTAATGCAAGAAAAAAAAAAAGATGTACATGGGAAGGGAGTAAAGAGGGCAGCTCTCAGACTCATTACCTATGGTAGTGGGTGTATAGGTGACATTGTGTGCATGAGGATAAGGGGTGGGCCTTCTCCTCCCAGAGTTCTCTGAGAGTATTAGAGTGTAGGAGTTAAAGAGCTTCTAATGGGATCTGGATGCTGTGGTGTTTACCCTGCCTCCCCCCCCTGCACCCCTCCTCTGCACGCCCATTGCATTGTGGAAGTTGCTGGGCTTTGGGACACCACAATAGGTTGAGTGTAGGGACAGATGGAGGTCCCTTTCGAAAAGGGCACAAAAAAAACCAAAAAAAAAAAACAGCCAAGGTAGGAGGGCTGTGGTGTCTGAGAGAGAAAGCAGGCAGCATGTCATATTGCCAGAAATGTGGGAGAACATTAGGAGGTGGAGGAGGGAGAGGAAAAGCTGAAAGGGGATTTTAGATTCTTCCTAATTATACTGCAAGAGAATGATGATGATGATGTAGACACATTCGCATGGCTTTGGTTCAGGATCACTGTGCAGCATAAGCGTTGCCGTCAGCTATAGCCTGTGTACACGCCAGCCTTAAAATAATCATGTATCCTGCTTTTATATATGTTCATACTATTCAGATTGGAACAAGCCAGTAAATTTTAAACAGAATTACAGTGAGAAAGAAAGCAAAATCCTTACTTTTTAGATGAGATATATACACGTCGTTCATTAAGCCTTTGTTTATTAGGGGTTAAACCAGGTCAGGCGAGGGGGTAAATGCTGATGTCATTCAGGGCAACTCAGTGTGTGGAGCATCAGGGGAGAGGGTTCAGTGATAGATGCTGAGGGGAGAGGAGAAGCATTGGAGGAGGGTTGAGGGAGGTACCGGACGCAGGAGCAGCAGATGGGGCCTAATTGGAAGCACAGGTTGTAAACTTTCTGTTAGTAACATCTGTCCATTTATCCATCTGTTACACTCACTGTTTACAGTTTGTTTAGTTGAACCTCATTAGAAAACTTGCAGTAGAGGCCATTGGTGCACCCTTTGTCACAGTATCTTAGATCACAAAAGAACTAAATCTATGTGCAGTACTGCAACACAGATTTATCACATCTATCACATCTGTGCCACTCAGGAACAGAAGTCTCACCATCCCATTCTTTGTTCATTTTTCTGGAGCACACATAAGTGGATTGACATGGAATGTGGATATAAGCCCTGATTAGAGTAACATTAGCAATTACTGTAAACATGCTCCTCAGAAGCTGTGTACTGCGAATACCACCCGTTACTTAACCAAGTGTCAAGTCAACATCACAGGACAGCTACATGTATTTAGAATTAATACTTTGACAGCAAACAGAAGAGTTAAGAGCATCACCCCCCCCACCTTGAACAGTTTCATTGGAAACACTTGAGTGACTTAAAAAAAACAAAAAAAAACAAACAATTCTGTTCAAATTACTTTACAGCGAGCGGATAAAGGAGAATTAAGCAGCTGATCTAGGCTCAGTGACCAGAGTGTTACATTAGACCTTAATCCAGAACAGTGGACGGTTGGATAAGGGATAGCATTTTTTAATCTTGCACTCCAGCCAGCCAGCCGTCCCATCACACACACACACACGGGGAGAGATACACAAACTGAGCCCAACATCCTCTTTCTGCTACATTAAAGACACACCAACTTTGGCAAATATTAGAGTTAAACCTTTGTTCTTGAAACGCTAAATAAGATCAGTGAAGTGTTACAGTGTGACAGAGCTTTCTTGGAGTGTTCACTGCATGAGCACCTTTTCCACCAATTCCATTGTGAGCTGCAGCATTCTTCAGTGTGTCCTAAATCTCAGTCCTCCTCACAGGGTTATGCAAGTGTCCTGGTGTCCCCCTATATGTAACAGATGTTACTGGGGCAACAGTTGGTATTGAAAGGGAGGGGCTACAGGCCATCTGTCCAGGGTCAAGTTTTGAAGAGGGGTGGTAGAGGTGGTGGCACGTTCAAGAAAATGGTATGTATTTGGTTGGGGGGGGGGGGGGGGGGGAACAAAAAAAAAAAAAAAAAAAAAAAAAAACCATAGCCCACATTGTAATCCTACTCAATGTGCACTTTCATTTCAGAAAGTCTTTGAAGGTTTTGAGTGAGAGACTGGAAACTCCAGAAAGTGTGTCTGACATGGGGGAAACTGTAGCTTTAGTGCAAAAGCACCATCTTGTGGTTAAGGACAATACTACAAACAAAATGCAATAATCCTCAAACTTTATTGATATTTTAAATTACCATTACATCGAACTATTGAGTCAAGACTACAGGCTCTTGCTAGCAATAACAAACAACAAAAAAACAACAACAACATAGACAGGACATTTTGATTTTACTCGTATTGAGTCCAGTGAGATTTAAGACTCTCAAGCGTATGGTCTATCTCATCCCGCAAATATGCCATCTTCTTGTGACAAACCTTTCTCTAGAAAAATAAAAGCAGAATGCGGAACCAATCAAGCACAAGTATTTTGGCAATACATTAATGCACACAGATAGTAAGGACACTCACAAGGTAGACCTTTAGCCTCTCCTTCTCCATGTGAAAGAATTCAGCCACAGTTAGCTCGGTGAAGTCTTTCTTCATGTTCAAGAATTCACAGTTAGGGGAGCGTTTCACGTGTTCATACCTGGGCAGAGAAAATGTTATAGAAGACATGGCACCATCAATTAAGAAACAGCTGCACTTTGTTTTTTTAGTAGGTTTAACTTCATGTGGCAGTCATATTTCCCTTTCATTACCTATGGTGATGTAATGTATATTAAATCTGCTCTGTAATAGCTCTGGGTAACAATCAGTTTGGAGTAATACAGATGGAAAAATTTCAAATCTGAACCTAGTGTAACCCCTTACACTACTGGCATAATAATCTTCAGTGACTCAAAGCTTAAGTGGTAACAGGTTAGGTCAAGGCCGGGCATGCTTTTACCAGGGATCGTCATCTGGCTCCCATCCCTCAAGCTCGATCAGACAGAAAAAACAGCAGACAACATCAGGCTCATTCTCACTGGGGCAGTGGACAAACCCAGCCTTAGCCATCTGCAAAGACAAACAAAACAGATGCCCTAACGTCAGTAGCATTTTTTGTTCCGGCTGAATTAAGGAATTTTATGAGCTAATAACTCACTGACAAAGATGACAAGTACAATTCAAGGATAAAAGACCACAGCCGCAGGAGGATTAGTGTAAGTGAGATTGAAACCAGAGGATGCTCCCCTTTTGGGGGTTAAGAGATGGTAACATGGCATATAGTGTTGCTCATCATGGGTGGTGTCACTAGCCCATCGATCATGACAAGACTAGGTTGGGCAAAAGGGTCTGCGTGCTGGCAACCTGATGTAATGAAACTGAACCTGGCACCTGCTTAACTGTAAATCACAAGCTGTCACAGCCTTGGATAAAAGGCTGGGGTATATAATTGCTGTATAAACAAGGTTGGGGTATACCAATGGCTAACCTCATCAGTACATAGTCATGTACTGTGTATGTTAATGTAAATTAGACTGTCTAACACATCCTTAGTAAAGTTAGAGGAAACATCCCACACATGCCCAGTCTGACCTCCTGCAGGCTCTGTCTTACCGAAATGTAGTGTGTGTAAATGAAGTGCCCCCTCTTGCAGACAAATTCCCCTCAAATACATTATGCCACTGCACTTAAAAAAACAAAAAAAACAACAACTATTGATCATAAATATAATAGAAGCTGGAGCACAGGAGCCTTACCTTTTCAGGTGTGCAATTACATTCCTCTCTAAATGGCCAGTCTGCAAAGCTTTGTTCGCGTAAGTCCTGACTGTACATTGTGTCATATGAGTGAAACCTGGTTGTCAGTACAGCTATGCTGGCCATGTCTTCAGCAGGAAAACAGGATCAACCAATGTCAAATCAACATCACAGGATCAACCAATTTCAGTTCATGGTGTGGTGGTTGATATGGACATGCGCTAATGGCCCTCGCACACTTCCACAGGTGTTTTCAGTTTCTGGCTGATTGAACTCTGCTTAGGTTCAAGGTGGGGGGTTATGATGGTTGATTTTTAACTAGTAAACATTTCTTTAAATACTCTCTTGTTCTACATCGTTTCTCAATTACTTTACACTTCAAATGTCTTTATTTGCTATATTCTACATGTGTGACTATGACAATCTGTTCACTAGACCTGTGTGTATTTGTGTAGCACAGGGCCTATGTATGTTTACTCTACCTATTAGATTTCACTAGGATGTATGTAGGACATCTGATGAGAAAAATGCAACAAAGACATTCTGATTTTATTCATTTGATGCAACAACATGTATGTGGCTGTGTATTCAGTACATTCAGATCTGATTTTACCTTCCTTATGCTAATAGAAATTACATTTCTATTAGCATCTTAACTCATTTCAAAGTCTTAGCTTTTTCCAGAGCTTTCAACCACATGTGTCCACCTGTCCAGATGCCAGTGTGCTCTCTTCACCATTCACAACGCAACATGAAAAACTTGGCACAAAAAGCAAACACTGTTCAAGGTACTCACGTTTTTGTTTAAATTAGGTTCCCTGACCGTTTGTTTCTGTTCTGATGCAGATTTATGTTGTCAACTACAGAGGACAGAGCATTATATATGAAATTGAATTATATGAAATTATATGATAATGTAATTCCATTTAAGACACTCAGTTATGTGATAAAATGTATGTACACATCCATATTAATAATCATCACGTTACTAAATCAGAATGTTTCATGTTTAATTTCAACCCTTCCCAATGCACTGAAGCAATTCCTTGGATCAAATGCTGAGGACAAGTCTTTTTTGTACACTGCTATATCTAATATTGCTTGTCCTTGCATCTCATGTCCAAGGATATATTTTTGAATAATCATTATCACAATACACAACACATTAGGACTCATGAGGGTTTGCTCAGGTGTGGTATACACTGTTTACATTTCTGATCCTAATTCCACCCTGATAGTGGTCCCATTAAAAAGTTTCCAATATCCAATTAAAAGTAAAATGTTTTTAAATTTAGTGTTGTCTGACCTTGTTTTATTGTATAGTTTTCATTACAACTGCTGCAACATGTAGATTGATCCATACGTTTCTTAGGAAAACCTAAAAAACAAAGTTCAGATGGCTATAATGAGGCTTCAGCAGTCTGCTAGACAAAAGTGACAGTGTGTTTTTAAATTCAATTCAATCTACTTTAAAAAATGTACAGTCACATTAACTGTGATAATTTCTCATGTAACACCAGGGAATGTTGAGGAAGTTAACCCCTGTTGGCAGTTGAGAGAAATTTAAGGATGCTGTTTGTAGCAGTGATGAATTCTGCCACACATGTTTCCACTCAATCAAACAGACACATTACTACAAAGCCACAAATGATCAGGCATTCTTATTGGACCACACTTCTCAGTTTCCAGCTGAGTATTTTTAAGAAATGCAAAAGTAAACATAGACATATAGCCAAAAAACTCAAGTGTCCAATTTAATGGTTTGGTGTAAACTTTACAAGCCTGTTTATTACTGTGAGAGACAGGAGCAGTCCTGGTGCGCAG